TCCAAAATGTCATGGCTAGAGACTGGACTGGATTATAACTTCCAGCTTCAGAAAGGCCCAAAGTCTCAGAGGGATTAACAATAAGAGAAAAAAAAAATACTCATCTTAAAGATGACAACTACAGTAATTTTTGGTCATTATTATGAAAGACTTTATCAACTATGCTGGAAAAAAACATGAGGATTCAAACATCTGTTCTTCTCCTAAGTGGCAAACCTGTGCCTCTCAAACTTCTCTCATGGAGAATGCTCACAGCACTTCCATTATTCCCACTACCTCTTTCAAAAGCATATTTGCCATCACAACTGCTTAACTACACTTAAAGAAGGCTTAACTCTGAGTGTCAGGCTCCCTAACACTGAACTTACAGGCAGTGTTGCTTAGGACCTTGTGACTTGCATTACAAAGCTATTTACAGGTATTAAGTGTGAACAGGATCATTTTCCCCCCAGTCGCTTTGCAGGCAGCACTGACCTCCAGCTCCCCCCTCAGTGAGAGACAGGAGCAATCCCTGGGTGCTGCATCCTTGTCCTGACACCAGCCAGAACCAGATGCTCCTCAGGAAAGTTCAAGAGAACGTGGCAGGAGGACTAAGGTGTTTTTAAACAGCAGCAGGGTTTGCTGGGAAGATGGACAAGGGACATGTCAGACCACTGGAGGAGACAGGTGATACAAGGCCTTTGTGAGCCCCTGTAAAAAAAGGGCTGATGTGCACCACTCAGCAAGGACTTCTGAAAACTGAAACGGTCATTTTTACAAGTGTGAGCAATTTCTTTTTCATATAGCTGTAACGCTATAATCCTTAGCAAGATGATTAGTTCTCAAAAAGGATGTTCACAGCAAAAATTCAACTGCCTTTAGAAGGGATGAGTTTCTATTCCATGGTGTTTTCTTTCCCTCCATGTCATCCAGGGGACAAAACTCACAATTGTGAGAATTCAGCACTAGCACACTCAACTGGTTCCTGAGCTGCAAGAGGGATTATGGTGACTTGACTGCTGGGGATGCAGAAACAACTGCAGTAAGGGTTCTCAAAACCAAAATGCAGCTCAGCAACTCTCCATCGCTTCCTTCATTCTGCCCCTCTACAAAGTCACTTGGGTACTGCACAGAAATGGAAAAGTTCTGTGTTGGGGCTGGCTGCTGACCCTGACAAAGGAATCAAGCACAAGCTGCAACACACAGGACACTGTTTCCTTTCCTTGAAATGAAACTCTGTGGCCCATCACAACAGAGGGGCAAGAAAGGATGGCATTTCCTTCTTCCTCTCCCTTCCTGGTGTCTCTGGCCCACCTCTTGCATCCCAAGAGTTGAGAAGAGGTTTACTGAAAAGCTGCAGCAAGTCAGGTAACCTGCCTGTCAATTTCTGCCTGAATTGCTTTGCTTCTTGCCTGTAAACAGGTTTAAAGCATCTACTAGTGACTCAGTCTGCTACACAGCAGCATTACTAACACCAGCACCGTCATCACCATGATTTGACAGTAACAAAGGACATTCTGTGTCCTTCCCACTGCTTAATGATCACGTCTCAAACCTTTCAAAATGTAGCAAATTCTACCTTTGCTACTTCACAGATAAGTAACAGATTATTCAAAACAGGTTGTGTTCAAAACAGGCGTTTGCAAAGGAATGAATGCACAGATAATGGCTATTAAAACAATCAGAAGAAAGAAGGGAAGAGAAGCTGATTACACAACTGATGGCAGCCCTCCTTTCAAAGGAGGAAAGAGGTGGATTAATGCTAAGTGATAAACACAAAGAAGGAAATTCCAAAGGGTAGTTTGGTACAAGGACCTTTTGTAAGTTTGACCTGGAAGCTGAAAGTTTCTTCCAAGTGAGATTGCAGAACAGCCTGCTGGTTGGCAGGAGACTGTTTTTAAGAGGAAGGCTGATGAAGGAGGAATGGATGCCACACTGGCTGTGACATAAGTGTGCCAAGAGCTCCTTTAGCCCCATGTCCGAACCACCCAGAGGGGATGCCTCATTGCGGCCCTCCCAGTGCCAGGCAGGAGACACTCAAGCCAACTGCATGGGAAAAGAAGAGAGAAAACAACACCAATAATGCCACTAAGCCCCACCTTGCACTCCGCCCACTTGCCAACTTTCCCTAGTGCTACAACAATCACTGAAAAAACAAACAAACAAAAACAACAACAAAAAAAAAAGTTAGCAAAATAATAAACAAGAACCACTAGCATTTTTTACTTCTCAGAAACCAAACCAACACGTCTTCTTCAGCTACTACAAGAAACCCTTCTAGTGAATGTCAATTCATATCTCTTTTCTAAAAACTGTTCAATCATTCCTCACTGACATCTTTCTGTATAATGTTAATTTTCAATCACTGATGAGAGAAATTTCTAAGCCTAAAACACAAGCTATGGTGTACGTATGCTCTTTACAACATCCATCAAAGACGAGCCTCTATCTAAAGAGGTTCTAGCCTAATTGAACAAAGTATTAGTACACAAATGCTCTCCCTGAGTGCATTGCATGCTCAGCTTGACCTCCTGCTGCCCTCAAGGCTCTGTTCCAGATGGCTGCTGCCAAGTTCCATCCCCATCTCCCTGCCTTCCCTTCGGAGCATTAGGAGGTTCACAGCAGAAAAAGAAATTCAAACAATGCTTACACTCAAAAGGTTACTCTAAATTACCTGTAATCTCAATGTGACAGAGCCTTACAAGGCTGTTAGAAGCTCCTGCTCACTCCAGATGAGTAAATGTGCTCTTGGCACCTTCATGTTTTGGGGTCCCTTCAGAGAGACAGCTCATACACAGAAAAGCTCGGGTCAGAAGGAGATGCTGAGTTTGTTCACAATGCACTGGGAACCACAGGGCCCAGGAATCACAGAGCACAGTGACCAGCATGAGGAGTCACTGCAGCAACTCCAGAAGCAAAACCACAGTACCAGAGAATGCTGCAACTCTCCAAAGCTAAGTCCTCAGCTCCAAATGCTGCACACAGGCTGTACTGACATCCCAGCCCAGAGAGCTTTATCACCCATTCCTGATGCCCTCTGTGCCACATTCCTGGTTCTGCTATTCCTCCTCCCCATCCAGCAGCCCAGCCTTGGGGATGCTCTTACACAGGGAGGGGGCAAACACATCTCCCTTTGCTGACCCCCATCTCCTCTGTCACAGCTTTCCCTGTCCCACACCTGTGATCCATTATTTCCACTGCAAATTCTCACTGTTACTTTTAGTCACAGAGACACAAAGGAAGCAGGAGAGACAGCAATTCTCACAAGATCTTACACCTGTATTTTATTTTCTAACCCTGTGAAGAAAATGCTAATTCTGATCTACGGCTGTTTCTCTCCCTTTTCATTTCAGACTTGCCAACTTCTTAAACTATTTGTGGTTTCTGAGCAGCATCAAGAGGCTATGGAGCACTCCATGGATAAACTCTTTATTCCAAGAGCAATCATTTAGGTCTGTCAGTTAAGGGTGGGACCTGCAGAGACAATTTAAGCTGTGCACAGCAGACAACTGAGAACTTACTTTATCACTACTGGAACATTATCAACAGTGAAATGGCAACTGCAATAAAAACTGCCTGGTACTTTAAGTCTTGCAGGCTAATTTAATCCTTCATTTAGTACTTGCACTGCTGCAGGGGTATTCTGAGGCCATGGGAAAATTCCTGAAGCATGCAGGATCACTGCTTATGGTGCCCCTCCTGCCTGGTAGAGTCTGGCAGGAGCCTGCAGGGTGCTGGATGTGCTGGCAGCCCCCAGGAGCAAAGGGAGCTGATGGGAGCCAATGCCAGGGCTGGGGTGGCTCCTGCCCTCCCACAGTTTGAGGCCCAGAAGGCAAATGGCTCCTTCCAAAACTGCTGGGCTGCCTGTGCTCTGCTGTCCAGGAGGAGAAGCAGCAAACAAGAAGCACCTTAATCCTCAGGCACATCACATGTCTCAAAGAGAGACTGGCACAAACACATTTTATGAGTCCCCACAGCCCATGTCAGCCCTGTGGTGCCATGGCTTGTGAGAGAGAAAAGTTCACATATGGAAAATCAACTTATGTGCCTGCTTTTTACAGCCTACAAATGCAGAGAGCCAAATTTGATTCTCTATTTCAATTTCCTTCAAGTTCATAAACCCAGGAGAGACTGCATGCAGAAGTAAACTAGGGGCTAGCTGGGAAATTGATAGATTTACAGGCTTATAATATCTCAAGCCTAAAACCAGCCTTGTACCCAATACATACACACAGAAGTGCACATGGGCATGTCCACACAAATCCTACACCATACACTATTACCTTTTCCCATCCTGTAGCATCAGCTTGCTTTCCTTTAAACCTGTGCTTGATCCTTCAATTTTTTCATCTTTAAATATCTTGGCAGCCTCAGAAGCATGGCAGTGACTACTCAAGCAGAATACACGAGATTGATTTTGCTCACTGTTCAAGCATTATCTCAGAGAAATGTGTCCTGAACTGCCATAATCCAACACCTTGCTTTTTATTAGTGACAAGGCAAAGTAGGTACTTTTACCCCTGAACAAAACTTTCATGCTCATGCATTTCTTTGATCCAACCCAATCATTTTTGATTTTGGAGATCTGGAATCATTGTGCTTGTGATTACCCTGCCAAATCATTCTCACCTCTTCTGTGGTATAACTCAATGCAGCAGCAGGATGAGACAAACCAGAGCAGAGTGCAGGAGCAGTGTCACCTCTCTCAGATGCTCTGCCTTTGTATCATCACCATCTTAGGCCCTTTCCACCCAGGGCTGTTAGCAGGCTCTTGCTAAGCCAAAAGTGAGACAGCTGCTTTCACAATGGATACTGTGGCTCCCATCAGATGCAGGAGGCTTTTTGAAAAAATCTACTTAAAATACTCCTATTTTCTAAAAGTAGGAGTAATGCAAAAACAGGAAGTAGCCCCCAAAAAATTGAATTAAGTATTCCAGGAACTAGAGAAGCTTTCTCAAGCCTTCTTATTTTGTTGAAGCAGCTTGCTTGTTAAACTATGCCAACAAGTTAAAAGGTCATACCTGGGTAAGCAGATGATGGGATGCTGAGTCTGACTGTTAAACAAGGGAAACCCTCTGTTCCTACAAAGAAATAGAAAAATATGCTCACTAGTCTCTATGCAGCAAATGTAGCATAACCTCAACATTGTAAGGGACTATAAAATGTCCTTACATCTCATGTGTACATTTCTGTCCATGCCTTTCCCTCTCAGTTTTATTTCCCAAGACTCTTTAATTCAGATTCCCTGTTATGTACAGCCTGCTTTGGGACCACCAAGGAGCTGCTTACTCCCTAGGCCAGCAGTAAAAAAAGCTGGCACTGACTCCAAAAACCTGTCCATCAGGGAAGGGAAATGGAGCACAGCACAATTCCAGCCAGACTCCCTCCAGACTGGGAGAATTGTCAGAGCTGCTCTATGCAGAGACTCTGCTGCAGGGCAGTCCCAAGCAGGAATGAGGAAAGTGGAGGAAAATGGTTGCTGAGATGCACAGAAAGTAATGGAAGAAGAGCAAGAGTCCCTCACTGACTTCCCAGTATGACACTTCAAAACAGCTGAAGACACCAAGGCAGGGAATTACTACAATTTCTTCCTTAAACTGTTTTTCTTGCCAAAATTGTAGCAGAGAGTCTTAAGTTTAGCTGGGATAGATAAGAAAGGTTCCCACAGATGTTAGTGCCCTTTTTGTGACCCTCTTTAATGAGAGAGAAATGCCTGGGCAGTACATGTAGATAGCCTGCTAAAAGAGCCTCTGCCTGTCCCACCATCCATCCTCTCTCCTTTCTCTAAGTCTTTGACCAGAGGACACTGGGGAAAACATTCCAGGTGCAAGCAGCAGACAGAAACCCAAGTGAAAGGGATCTCCTCACCCCATGTCCTTGAGTATCCCCAAGGATTATGGAGTCAGCTAAAACTATCACCTATATTTAAGGCTGCAGTTTCTCATGGCCAAGACAATGGTACACTTTTTTTATTTTAGTTGTTCAGAAATTAATTCCCTGTACAGGGTATCTGACTCAAGTTAATGCTTTTGTTTGAGAGTTCACTGTTTTAAAGCTTCAGCAAGAATAGGGCAGGCAGTGCCAGGAGCTAGAGTAGTAAGAAACATAGAACTAAACCAAATTAAAAAGAAGGATAGAAGGTAATGACAAAAAGTAAGATGTAAGTGTGAAATCAGAGAGAATCATAATGCATACTCAGAAAGGCAACTAACCTTAAGCTAGAGAGCAGTTCAGGTTCCTTTTATTTCCTGGACTGTCATCCTTTGTCACTGAATTAGTCACCTTGTCTGCACCACATCACTGGCATGGGATTGTGCTAACTACAGCTTTCCACCAGTTTGCCCAGTTAACATCCAACAACAACAGAAAGATTTTGCTGCCCTGAAGGAGGAAGGTTTCCTACGGTTCTGATAGCAAATAAATGAAAAATTTGCAATGGAATAAATTCCACCTTACTGCAGAGGCTGCCAGCTGAGTGCACCATTCACTTAGGAGCAATAATTAGTTACAGTAAATGAGCTGTGTGGAACTGAGGCTCTAGCCAGCATCAACTCCACCAACCACACGACAAACATCAATGTTAAAATAAGCTAATTAAATTTTCCTTCGCTCAGCAGAAAGATCAATGCTCTTGACAGGCAAGGGTTCAGCACATGGCATCCCAATCCCAGCCCTCTGATGTGCCACCACTGCCACATAAAGCCACAGAGCCAGAACCAGAGGAGGTGGAGCACCCCTCTGGGGAGGGACAAGGAGACAGAGGCACTCAACAGGGATTTACCAGAAGGATGGAGACACCTGCTACTCGTATGCCAGATGGTCAGATGGCATTTTTACCACAAACAAACTTGGCTTTGCACTTCCATTATCTATTCTACCATCATTAAACATGTGTCCCAGTAGTCTGCTGAAAGTCCACTGCAATAAATGTGATTTCAGCCACCAGCAGAATACCAAAAATACCAGACAATCAAAATACAGATGCCAGAAATGGGCAGCATTTTTGCTGGCCCACGAATTTGCTGGATTCAGGCTGTTATCACCATTTCCACCTCTTGCTGAGGAAGAGGGAAGGGAAGAAAATGAGATGATTCAGAAGTTCTTCTGCTGGAGAACAGAAGAGACACCCACCCACACAGAGATGCCCACAACTCCACGTTCAGGGCATTTAAACAAAAAGTAAGAAGTTAACATTTAAGTGCCTGGTCAGAATGTGGCACCAGATACATTAATGGGGTTTTCCACCTCCTGTAAGCACCTTCCAATAATCACAGTGCAGAATGTATCAAGAAGGGTTTCTTTTTGTTTGTATTTCTCCCAAACCTTGTTGCTTGAGACAAAAATCCAGAAGAACCTGTCCCAGTAAGGAATTACTTGAAACTGGCAGTGACTTTAGAAAAGCTCTGTGCTCAGATGAAGGGACATGCTGGTTTATTGATGCCCTAGAGCCAGGATAGCAGGGGATGGCACTCTGGCTGCTCCAAGTGACACTTTCCACAACGGACAGAACACAAAACAGATGAGCTGGGTTTTTTCACTCCTAACGAGAAGCTGTGACTAATATCTTCTATCCTGAATATGGAAACCTATGCCAGGACATGCAAGCTCATCACAATGAAGAAAACTTGAAGTCTTATCCACAAATACAGCCTGCTAAGTGCATTCAGCGCATTTTCTGCCACTGAAGTACATCAGACAGATTTCTCTGTTGATGCAGACTAACCAAGGGCTGACAGCTCTAGGCTGGATGCACTGTGACCTAGCACCAAACAGTCAAGGAAACCTGCTCATTCTGGCTCTGCCATTTGTCTGTGGATCAAGCATGCTACTTCCACTGCTGTGTCCAGTAGGGATTGCCTTTTCTTCTTTTTGGTAAACACTTCGACTTCTACCTACAAAACTGACAGGAAAAATCCAGTGTGCATACACATACACAACAGAGGACTGAGGTTCTATTTTATGCACAAGATATTTGTAACTATTCTTCATTAAAGTTACTCCTACTTCTCCTCTTATAGAGCTCTTAAAATCAACAGGATTGATAAATTTATACATTGTACTAATTTTAAAAAATATGTGTCTTTTTCAGGAGCTGCTTTCCTTTTTCATTTGAGGATTTGTGTATGTTGAAATACTTCTGTATGACCTACCCAACAACACAGTTGTTTTGCAGAGTCACTTGTAATGAAAATTGTAAGGACTAAGTACATTCTTTTCCTAAGCTGTTCCACTTGTTCTCCTGAGAAAGGAGGTGTGCTGTTATCCTGAAGGGTCAGCCCATCCACCTGAGGCCCTGACTCTGCCTTGCAGAGAAATCTAGATAGATATCTATTAGCTTCAGCAATCTGCCTGCAGAAATGCACATTTAACGTTATTAACTCTGCAGTCTGGGAGCTTGCCTTTTGCTATATATACCTCAAGAGCAACATGCATGCTATGATAAAAGCCTAAATTGTCATAAATTACTTCTCAGCATTTAGTGCTTTGCCCAACAATGCTGTAAATGGATGCAATCTATTACCACCAAACCTTTCCCTACAGCTTCTTCCTTTTACACTCCACACTCTCGTCCTCCTTCCTACTTTCCATGTCCCTATGCTTTCCCCTTGGCAGCAGAGGCTTAAAATAACAGACATCTTTCAAAGGGATGCAAAAAGCCAATCTGGTTATCTGCAGGGTAGAATTCACTACACATTTATTATTATTCAGTTTCCAAAGTGCTACAAAATGAAGGTCAAATATATCTGAACCTCAGCTAAGGTTGATGCAGAGAGCAAATGTCTTTAAATCACTCCAGCCAAAGGAGGCAAAGCAGAGGCCAGGTTGTGCTGCTGTAAATCAATGACCATCAGCAGAAGCCAGCAGCTTGCTGTGGTTGTAGATGTGGCCTGAAATTCAGGAAGGACTGCACTAGATGCTGTCTCAACTTGAGAATCAAGACTCCAGAGCTACACTGACTGAGGAAAAACCTGTACTGAGATTTTCACCACCAGTTTGAGTTGGCTTTGGGCAGCACATAACTCAGTCCTTCCCTCACTCCTGGAACATGCTGCTTCTGAAAGCCAGTTTAGCTTGTTCCCTTTTGACCAAGCTGATTTAGAAAAGCTTTAAATGATTCAAGAACAAGCAATGCTGACAGTATCATCACAAATTTATTTATTCCAAAAACTACTGCACTGCATCTGCGTTGAAATGGATTACTCCTAGCACTTAATTCCCATTGCTTGCCTAGTGACTCATTTTCACTAACACATCCACACCAAACCTTTCAATAATTAAAAGAAATTTTTTAAACCCTGCAGATTGAGAAAGGCCTATTCATGGGGAAAAACATGTAGAGGAGACAAAGCCTGGCTTGGTTATGACTCTGAGGAGGAGATAGGGAAGAGGAAAAGCTATCTCAGCATCTAAGAATCTTGGCTAAGTGGGGCCTGAAATACACAGCAGACAGGAGACACTGTTCAATCATTTATAGAAATCAAGGTTAGCAGTGTCAGCACATTTGGCCTGAGAGGAAACAGTTTCCTGATCCTCTTGACGCAGAAGTAACTGGGCTGCATTAGTGGCTGCCACTAAGTAAGGATTAAAGAATGGAAACAGAGAAGGACAAGGATAGCAAAGGATAAAATGAGCATGCCAATATTTTCACAGCTTGTGTTCAGCAGCCCAGCTACAACCCCAAGGGGTTTTTTACAGGAATCTCAGAGACAGAAACAACTGCTACATTTGATGGAAATATATGGTGCCTGGGTTTTACAAATGGCGTTTCTAATAGTTTATCTGATTTTGTAACTAGCAGGGAAGGAAATCGTTCTGATGACAATTACCACTGAGGCATTTTGTTGTGTTTACTAGCACAGAGCTGTCATTAACACTCCACTTCTCTTAACCACAGCTTACTCCCCCTGTAGTTATTGAAGATAGGTCTGGGGGCTGTTTTCCTGGTCTTGTCAATTTGAATTTTAATACATACTGCTTGAAAAATGTACCACCTGCTATTTTATATCTATAATTTATTGTATAATGAGTTCCTATAAATCCTTATGATAGTTTAAGAGACTTGCAAGATGGATTGCTGGCC